ACCTACAGTCTATACAAGGACAGAAATACAAGACTTTACAAGTATGCTAGTTGAGTGATATATTCATTGATTACTGAACTACACAATTTGCCATTTTAGTGTCACTAGATAAGAAGTCTATTTTTCTATTTTGAAATTAGAATGTTCTTGCAGAACTTTTAAGAAAAATATAAAGACACGTCTGCCATGAATACATATAAGCCATACAGATAATAATCTTTTTATAGCGAGACTTGCCATTCTTGTGCAGTGAAAATGTCAATGTTGGCATTTTGGGTTAAGGTTATGTGGGCTGAAAGTTCCACAAAGTCTATTGTATGAGAAAATATTCAGAACTAATAGTGGAATCTCTTAAATAAAATTTCTACTGAAATTTATAAGGGATATTTTAGAGCTTGAAATACATAATTTAAAACAATATTACATTCTTTTAATAGTTCTTCCTCAGTTTTAAGTGCATTTCTTTTTTTTTTAAACATTTCACTGAAGTAAAACAATAGTTTGATGAATTATTACCAAAATAAAAAATAGAAATATGTTAAAGAACTAAAGAAGGGCATTCTTCAACTCTGAAGGCAGCTGACAATATCATTCTTAATATTATTTTAGATAAAAAGGTAATTATATGACATACTCAGTGGCTAGTGAAACTAGAATGAGATTAATTAACCTTATCCAAAGAACCAATTAAATTAACATATCTCTGGTGATCAATATCAGGACCATTAAACTTACATAGCTCTGAGGAATCAGCATTCATAACCCAACCAGAAATGTTTTTGATGACACAGTAAGTTCCTTTAAAATGCTGGTAGCTTACTAAAATCCACATGGCATTACAACCTAAAGACAAATATTAACACCTTTATATTGTTGTAAACTTATGTTTTCATATGAAATCACACTTCATCTAAGAAATTGTAAATTATATAAATTTTTATTCGACATACGAGGTGCGATCGGAAAGTTTCTAGACTGCGCCTATAAAAACCCGTACACTTACCTCAGGTATTAAATTCATCCATCACCCTCGAAGTAGTTCCCCTGGGAGTGAACACAACGATCCCAGCGCCGCTGCCAAGACTGGAAGCATCCCTGGAAATCTTTCTTTGTCAGCCTGTCAAGCACCATCTGCGATTCTGCCTGAATCTCTTCTATCGTCTCAAATCTCCTTCCCTTTAGCTGAATTTTCATCTTTGGAAAGAGGAAGAAGTCACACGGAGCTTAGAAAGGAAGTTGGGGTCGGTTCTTGCAAGATCTTGGAGCTCCTGACAAACGAGAAGTCGATTCTGCTTCTGGTCCTCAGACAGGAGCCTTGGCACAAACTTGGCCGAGATGCGTCGCATGTGGAGTTCTTCCTTTAGAATCAGCTGACAGGTCCCATAGCCTATCCCAAAAATGTCGCACAAGTCGTTGATGGTACGACGTCGATCTTCGTAACAGTTTCGGGTCCGCAATCGCAGGAGGGTCGGTGTAATGCACTACCAAAACGCCCGTAACTAAGAAACAAATGCTAATTCGATGATGCCGGCTGGCACACTGATTCACTATGAATGTAGGCCGCACCCCCTAGCGGCAAAAGCTCGTACTACATCCGGTTCGCCCTCTATTGACAGAGTCTTGAAACTTTCCGATTGCACCTCGTAAGTTTATCAACAGCATAATTATTTATAAGTAATGCACAAAAAAGAAGTCTATATGTACTTTACAAATCTAATGCGAACAAAACATCCATATAGTTTCTGTACAGTGAACTGCCATACCAATATGATAAAGACAGGAAATTTGAGTGTAAGATTAATTTGTTTCTACATCCCAGTTTTAATATTCTGGTTAATGTAGCTGTTCAAGGGACTAAAATGATCCTTATGACATTTCAATTACAGATTTACAGTACTAATACAGTGGCCATGTACTCTTTAGAGTACAGCCAACTTGCCAGGCTCCAAACTTACAGAAGGATTTTGCCAACATCTACAAACACTTCAAGAAGGCAATGAATAAATACAAAACACTACGTAACCAAGCTCTCTGGTAACTGCACCTGATGGCTCAAGACCTCTAATGCCAAGACTTGTCATTGGATCTAATCAGGAGTCACTCTGGATCCTCAAAAATTTCTTCTTCAGGCTCCATCTTAATATCATCCATCATCTTATTGCCTTCCACATTTCTATACAAAGTTTGTATGCATTTTGTGGCCATTATCCACATTTGAGCCACATTTCAAGCACTATTATACCTTAATTTAATTAGCATATAAATACTAGGGGTGTTTAATGCACAACTTACTTGTTTTTACTAAATTACAAATTTTGATATAAATATTGTTCTGACTTATAGCATATTCCTTACTGCAGACTGTTAAATAATTCAAATTTTAAACACTTAATGTTTCAGAAACACAAAGCAAAAGTTTATATTCAAAATGGTTAGGATTTTCCTAAATATTTCACTTTCCATTTCTGTGACCATTAATACCTGATGCAGTAAGTTGCAGCTGATATTGTGAATGTTGTTTCTGACTGATACAATGGAACTTAGTATCGTATCTGTGGCACACATTTCCCTTTAACATATACAAAGAGTCGCTACAAATAATGCAGGAACTCTGCAAGAAATATAGGCCTAATCTTGAAGTCAACAACGGAAATATGATGAACACATTTTGCTCACCAGATGAGACACGTATACTGCAGGTTTAAAAAACTGATTACACAATCAATCAGACACAGGCCTTACAGAAATGGTGATTTTAACATGTGGCACATTAAATGCGGTACTTTATAAGGTATCTTCCTGTCATCCAAGTGGACTCCTCTGAACAGGTTTCAATATGAAACCTGTTTGCAGTTCTTACTTCACTTATCTGAGCTGTAAAAGCAGCCTGTGTCTTGTAAAATGTGATAACTATAAAAGAAGGAGTGGAACTCCATTGGAAAGATGTTACTTATTCCTCAGCTGACATTTCTCTTCTACCTGCACAATGTACAGGCCAAAATATTCAAAGAGCCAAGAGTATCAGAGATGCTTTCAAGATGCAACACAAATCACAAGTTTACAAAACTTATTTATGCTTTTAAGTGATTGTTATGTATAATAAATTAACCATGACTGAAAATTCATTTCCTCCCCACGGACACCACCTTCTTGAAGGCACCTTCGGTGCCGGGTGGGGAGGATTGTGTGCTTCAATGAAGTTGAGAGTGATGCTGGTGGTAGCGTACTACTGGTAGGGTCTCCCAAGCCAGAATGGCCTCGACAGAGTCCCCAGATGAAGTGTGCCCCACAACGATAGAGCAGGGGGGGGCTCCGTAGGGATAGTGAAGCCAACCTCCCTAGAGGAGTAAACCCTGAAATCAAATCCCAGCCCTCATGGTAAGGGGTTGAGCATGGGGCCAAGGACCCCACCTCATAAAAGAAGTCAGTGTTCAGAAACCCAGGGAAGCCGAGTCCAAAATTAAAAGGCTGTAGCGCTACAAGAAATAGAAAATTCATTTATTGTGAGTGAGAACTATTAAATAAAAAGCTAAAAAGCTTACATTATTGTACAAATTATTTTCCTAATAATATAAATTGACATAAAGTCAAATGCTAAATAGTTATTCTAATTACAATTTTCAACTGAACAGAATTATAAAACATTTTTGATTGTTAAAAACTGAGATTTCTACAAGGAAATGCAAATGCATGCTTACTAAACAACTCAAAACTGTAAAGAGAATCATAAGTTAATTCCAGTTGAAGCTTTGCATGTGCAAATACAACTAACTGGCCACTGTAACCTGAGACCTGAGTTTCGAATTGAAGAGATCCTGCATTTACCGTTTCCGATGATTGTGGAGATAGTAAATATGCATGCTGGGTAAATATGGGAAATGGCGTGCATGTGTATGATGGGCAGTGTTAACAATTTCCTCTATGAAGGAATTTTGGCAATGTGAGGCAATAAACTTTAAAACAAAACGTACATCCTCATTGGCAAACTAGTGAGAATTCCTTGCAATCTTTTGTTTAAGGGAATCAACTTTCTGTTGCTCGATGTTCAAGAATGCTTCTCCAAGAACTATGTTAGGTCGCTTACATGCTCTCTGTGGTAGTGAAACATGGCTCACTCTCTGCAATTGTTGGTAGTTTCATTATCTGGCTCTGTGACTTGTAAATTGCCCTGCGACATCCTACTCTCAACTGTGTTTTAAAAAGAGCAGTTGTTTGTAATATGGCCATAAGGCGTTACGTTGCTGGAAGTACCTTCTGACTGAGACTATGGAATTTCAACCAGAAATAATCCCTTAAATATTCCCATTTCTTACGCACAGCATCTTCTGTAATGTGTCCAAAATAAATTGAATGAATCCATATATTTTGTTGTCTACAACTGGTGAGAAGTGTTACTTGCTGGTATAAACAGAATTTATGTTCATAAAATAAAGGATGGACACATTTTTGGTGAATTCACATTACTTATAAAAATTATTCACTGTTGGTATTTATTTCAGTGCCAGTTTTTTTCCCACAGTTTCAGTATTACAAATCAAGTCTCCACAAAGGGTTGTCTGCAAAACACACAGGCAATCAACTCTCCCCAACCATTTTAAACGGCACTTATAACTGACATACAAATTCAATATCCATATGGAATACAAAACCTACTGTGGTTCTCTGCACATGCATGACTTCCATGCTGGCTGCTTGGAGCAGCCAAAGGAAGGGATTTTTTTATTCTTCCAGTGACCAGCAAGCTGGCAAGCGACTGGCCCGATTCTGGCCCGGCTTCATTTTGGTCACTCACATTCAAAATACAACGTTCCATTCTTCAGGCTAGGCAAAGACACAGTCTACCAGCAACCTTCTAGGCTCCATCTTACATACCGTGAATCTACTTAGAGGCCCAGCACAGTATAATATCTCATCTTAAATCTGTCATACGATGAAGGAAATGCAGACAATTTCTGAAATTCAGTGGTTAAAACAACTAGGACAAAGAACAAATTCCAAAAAAATTTGTCAAACATTTTTGAAGTTTATTTGCATCTCTGATAAGCTTACTTTCATGTAAATGATACAGTAATGCTTGGTTTCGGGCCTCCTAAATCCAGCCATTATTACAGACATTCCACTGCAATTCTGATGAGTTAAAGTGTTTATATGTTCTTTACAGTAGTGACATACATTGACCTACGTATTTCATATCATCAGTAATGTCTGAAGTTTTAATTGATGATGTTCAGAATGAATTTATTTCCTTTATCATGGGCTATCCTGTTATGTTACCAAGAATTCATTTCAATAAGATGAAGCAAGGCCCCAAAAACAAAGTACAGCCGACTATCCAAATGAAACATAAGTGTGCTCTAAAGCAGGTCCTGTGATGTTCATGGTGGAAGTTTTGCGTGGCCATGTTTGCCACCTGATTTACATAAATTGCTATTTTCTATGGAACTAGCCCAAAGAGTATCTGCAAAATTTGTATTTAAAAGGAGATATACAAAAGGAATGTGTTGTATTTCTGAGGATGTTTTAGTTTCAATTTGGTATTTTCTTCACACACTGGAAGCACTAAACATATTCATTACAAATGTAAATTATCTATGTATATTTAATATTTTAATAAACAACAGACAAGAAGAAGATTTATTATATTAATTTTATATCCAATTAATATGGTTTTAAGAAAGAAAAAAAAGACCATGTACACATATCCTATGACTTGATTAACCATAATATAAACCAAATTTCATTTAGTATTCTTGTTCGAACGTAATGATGAGGGTAAATTGAAGAGTTTTGCCTCTACTTGACTAATTCTAGATTCTGTAAAGACAGAACTAGTTTTGTGGTATAGCCGGATATCCTAGCTCTCACATCAAAAGATTTGTGCCAGACCGGCGCCTCACGTGTTAACTGCTGAGATAAAAGCTAAGAGACTACGCATATGTCAGAAACATTTGCAGCACTAGAAAAAGGAAGATAAATTTCTACACAGTCCTGTGGCCAGAGATGAGATGTTGGTCCACCATTATGACTGTGAGAACAAACAGCATGGTTTTAATTGAGAGACCATGCAAATGCAGACAACAAGATATGATGATTGAGAGAAAATCTTAAACTAATACAGAAAGTGCTGTTACACATCACTGAACTTTGAGTATGGTATGCTGTGTACTGTAACTAGAATAATCGTAACCACCTTATTTTTGGATATAATAAATTCAGAATTACATACTGGACAAAATTCTTACACCATTTTTTATTTAAGTGTAGTGGAGAAAGAACATTGATTCTTTCAGCAACACAGTGCAACTGCCCATACAGCCAATAATTCAATGTTTGGGGGTCAAATAATTATTGATCCTTTGTGGCCTGCTCATTCACCTGGTATTACACCATATGACTGTTTTGTGTGGAAGTTTCAAAGACAGAGTTTATCAAAACAATCTACATACGTACTATGGATGAAATTAAAGGAAACATCACATAAACAGTACAATAAGTTTCTAGACAAGAATTTAAAAAGTTGTTGATAATACAGGTAGGACTCGGTTTACGCCACTTCAATTTATGCCCGCTTCACTTTTGCACCTTTCATAGATCACGATTGGAGGGGGTAATGAGTCATGACTCTGCCCAACTTCATAGACACAGATGGTCCAGACATTGTAATAAAACTTATATTGTAACAAAACTATAATTGATAAGCTATGGCCTAAAATTTAAATAATTAAACAAAAAACGGAATATAAAATACGACAAGAAAAAGCAAATTACATTAACCACGGACTAAGAACTGCAAGTGAACTGACAAACATTCACTGGTGTCTAGAGAACAGGTCGCCGAAAGGTTAAGGAAAGTGAAGCTGACTCTGCAATGTCGGTCAGGCACTAACAGTGAAATCAATGCAAGAGGCTATTGCTCTTGTCAATAAGGGATGTGAGATCTTCTGTAGCAACGACCCCAACTGGGAGTGGAGCTCAACCATTAAGACAGGAATTGAGACAGTTCTACAGCCATAGTATAACTTATTAACAGAAAAGAAGAAAACCAGACATCTATTCCATCGTTTTTAAAGCAGTAAATTTTCTTTCTTTTTCTTAAACTTTGCTCAATTTTCAATACGTAAATTTCAAAACATAAAAGATTTTTCAAGTATTTTGTGTTGATTACTGAAAATTTTGGAATGGAACCTAATGTATTTACATATGTTCCCATTATATTTTTGCTTCAATTTACGCCGTTTCATTTTACGCCAGATATCTCAGGAACCTAACCCCGGCGTAAACCGAGTCCTACCTATATGTCATATGTCAAGCATGCCTGAGAATTAAGGGTGGCAATTTTTAACAACTGCTATAAGATGTGGTAAGTTGCATGAAATAATATAGCTTAAAAATGTGGATACTATGAGCTTGTCACTATCTGACAGCCTTCTGTCACTGTGGGTTCCATGTTACATGGGAAACACTGTAGTATAATAAGAATATTTTCATTAATGGATCTGTCTAAAAACCAAGTTTATGGTATGACATGAATGAAGACATTCTGCGCAACAAAAATTAAGCACTTCTGGATGTGATGTATGTGTAAGTATCATAATTCCAGTCATTCATAGACTCCTTGCATTTGTCTTTATATGACTTTTCTCTACCTTTCATTAATTACAATTATTTATGCTAGATGTGAATTAAAGAAAAAAGTATGTATGAATAATTGTTAATGCCTTTCCAAGAGTCATGTGACCCAGTCCTACAACAACAAAGCTGAGTTGCCCATGTTATGTCAAAAGCAAGTCACAACGGTAGGGAACAATTGTTGATGTGGGTATAAAATTCACAAGTTTGAGTTCCATTGTCTACATATTAGTTTAATGTTATTGTTGTTTTCACACAAAAACTCAATAAAATTATGCACTTGTATATTGCTGAACTGTATGTTTGAAGATGTCTGTGTTTAACTCATACCAATAGCAATGCAGCATAAATAATACACTATTAATGTAAATGATACCATTGATAGTTAATTTTGCCTGTTAAAAAAGTTACTCGAGTGTGTGTGCTTTACAGACAAACAGCAGTTACACATTCTCCTTCAAACATCACAATCCGCACATTATAGTAACCACTTCCAATTGCTCTTGATATGAACTGAATACAGATGTTCTGTAATATAGATTCAAATAATATACAAGTGTACGATTTCATTGAGTATTTCTGTGAAAAAATATGATAATTAAAAAATTCATACATTAGAATTTTAACTTAGAAATTTGACCTCCACATCAACTTTAGTCTCCTACCTTGGTGACCTGACTATGAGGAAACAGAATCAACTCAGCTTCGTTGAAGTCAGACTGGGTCATACAACTCTCAGGAAATCATAAATATGAGTTCATATTTTTCTTCAAATTAGGAAGACTTAATGATGCTTTCACTTAACAGATGTCTGGCATAAGTAACTGTAGTCAATGGAAGATAGAAAAAAGGCATATGTGGACAAACGCATGGAGATAAGAATAAAGACTCAAGCAAAGAAAGTGGCATTGATGAAAATATAATACTAATGAGAAATTGCCCAGTCATTTTCTTGGCTTAAAATGAATTTGTACTCTTTTCTAGCAATGCACTTTCCATACACAACTTGTTATGGGCCCACAGTCTAGCTTCAGTCACAGTCCATCTGGTGCATATATGTAGCTGAGACATTGTCCAAAAATAAATATATGAGAGAGCTTAATAAAAACAACATTCAAAGTCTGTAATAAATGGCCGTTGATTTAAAACTTTGTATGAGATTCCACAAAACGTATTTGTCCATCTAAATTAATATTCACTAAGAAAATGCCTTTCTTCCCTTTAACAAAAAAAAGACTTTTTTCAAATGTGTGTACGTTGATGTTTCACAAGATCACTCTTTGCTGAAAATAACTTCTCACAAATTTCACACTTGTATGGCTTCTCTCCCATATGTCTTCGGAGATGTTCAGCGTGCTGACCAAGCTTTTGGAATCTTTTCCCACAGATTTCACATTTGAAACGCTTCTCAGCAGTATGTATGCTCCAATGTTTAGTTAAGCGTTTTGACTCTGAAAACCCTTTCAAACAAATGTGACATGTGAAAGGTTTCTCGCTACTATGTATACGATGATGATGATTAACTAGAGTACCTTTACGTGACAATACTTTCCCACAAACATCACATTTGAAAGGTTTCTCACCAGAGTGTGTGCGTCGATGTTTGTACAGGCTTCCACTCTCTGAGAAACCTTTGTCACAAATTTCACATTTGAAAGGTTTTTCACCTGTATGAATGCGGTGATGTTTAAGTAGGCCTCCACTTTCTATAAATCCTTTCCCACAAAACTGACATTTGTAAGGTTTTTCACCAGTGTGTGTGCGTCGATGATTAATTAGACTTCCTCTACGCAACAATAATTTACCACAAATGTCACATGCAAAAGGCTTCTTTGTAAACTTTGTAGAAGCACTGACTATCCTCTGATTAGTGAAGTTGTTGGCACTGTAACATAACAGTTCTACATCACTACACATACTTTTCCAAATCCTTTCTCTGGTTCTGGTCAAAGTACAGGGTTAGATGTGAAGTTCAACTGCAGAGTAAAATGGGATAATAAATGTTCAGGGTTGGCATGCCTAATGCTTATCTCAGAAGAGTAATGAAAGAGTACTGGGATTGTTTATCAGAAGTTTTTTATGGGAAAACTAACATGAACATCACATTCATCATAAAGTGAACATGGACTGAATATCGTATAGACCATATGGTGAGAAGTCGGCTAAAATACATATATAAACTCTGTGCATCTTGTGAAATCTGATGTTTTCCCAGCAGTGAAAATTATGTTATTCTTCTGGATTCTTTAGGTTAAGTGAGGTTAGGTTACACTGCATTCTGCAGACTTGTCAGTAGATGCCATTTCATAGAAACATAAATTCTCCATCTTCAGGGCTGAAGGGCCAAAACCAAGAACAACATTATTTGTGCATCTCACATTTCAGTTACGATGATATAGCTTAGCTGAAAGAAGAATCAGCATAGAGCACATACAATCCACACATCCTTTCAGCTGTAGGTGTAATGCTGAAGGAAATGAAATTTATTTCAATATAGCTAGCAATAACAAAAATTAGGTAATCTCGTTTCATGCTCAGGATAAAGTTGATGAAAAACAGGTTAAATCATTAAATAAAATGGATTAATGACAGAATTTGAAGGCAGTTTTCTGCACAACTGATATGGCCTATTGTATGTGGGACAGAAAGGAGATATTAAGTACTAACACATTATACTTACAAACCAATGAAAAGAATAGCCAAAAGTAGCTGTGGGTTGTCAAATGATATTCTATGGCAATGAAGTAACTATTATTAAGAACACAATATGCTGTACTATGTGTTTTTACTTCCAACAGCACCACCTGTACAAAGTCGAAACCTCCATTTCAACTTTTTCTCATTTTCTACAGATGATAAAATTGTAACCTCTGCTTCAATAATACATACATTCATTTTCTTCTTCTTTTTGGTACAGCTGCTCTGCTCACTAGTCCCAACCGTTTCCATTGTTTAAGGTTCAATGGGAAATGCTTAAATATGTAATATGCAGTTTTGTTGCATGCTTTATTTTGTGGCAAGGAGTTATTAAACCCTTTCCCAACCCTGAAAATGGAGAACCGCCCCTTGTTGGCTGTCGCAGCTACCCTCCACATCTGAACGGCTTTCCTCCATCTGCAACCTAAGGACGCTTCTTGCTGCCATTCAACATAGTCACTATACTCATTACACACTAAACTTTCTTCACTTTCCCCAAACATTAACATTGCTTACTCACAAGTAAGCACAATTACATTTTGTTTCGCATTTTAATACAAGTTTTATGATTGCAATCAAACTTCATACGTGGATTCCGATCATGGTCAAAAGACTATGCACTTAAAGACATATACTATTCCATTAATGGCACTAATGCTCATACACATTTACAAATGCAATTATTCAGAAGCCTGTGACAGTTGGACACAGTTCAAAGTCCTTATCTGGGTCTAAAAGTGGCTTTCCAAAGCATGGCCTGCAATAATGTATCGTGTGTTTCTGGAATTTGTTACCCTTGCACACGACACAGGCACCTTTCTTCAGGTGGGCCACTGCATGGTCTTCCTTGCTTAGCCTTGTGCATTCTGCCACTAGCAGACATTCTTTCGTGCGCTAGGGATTCCACGAGACGCTGCCTGAACTTCTCGTAAGTTATAGGCCACTGGCTGTGTTGTTCCTGAGCCAAGACATACGGCTCCTATGAATTCACTGTACCCACTTTCAAAAGCCAGAATAAAAACTTTTTGTAGCATTTGTTTGTTCTCATAAACTGGTAAGAACTGCAGTTGACCCCTCCCACACATTCACTGTAATGCAGCACCACATTTGGTTTCATTAGGGAGGTTTGAGGGCGCTTGGTTTTCACCTTACGTTTGCTCCATGAAAGAAAAAAGTACCAAGATCCATCGAATGGCACTACAGCCCGAGTCCAGGCCTTGGCATCCTCCCATGTGGGAGGTTCCCTAGTCTTTGAATGTGCATTTATGAGTAGTGAGTTACAAGCCCACTGCCTCTGCACAATTTCTACTCAATCCTGATTTATCTGCTAGAACCATCTAGTAGTGAATCAGGAGAGACATGGGTGAGAAATGACCACAGAATTTTGCTTACAAAACATCTCATTCATGCTCGTTCACCTGTGCCTGAGAGTAGTAGCCTGTAATATCAGACATGGGAAGCAGGTCTGTGTTTATCAACGCACGAAGCTGTGTCTTGATTTCAGCTAGGGATGGGGGAGACTAGTTTGTGATTCTAGCTCTTTTTGTACTGGGCATATTCTGCATTTTCTTTTTGTTAGCATTCATACAGGATGAGGCCAAGAAATTAAGATCACAGAAGAGTTCAAAATATTCAACAGGCCCAGTTTCGCAATTGAAACTTGATGCTATAACTGCTTTATGTTCTATATTTTGCAATGGAATTGTGGTGCTTGGTCTGGGTTCTGAATCTGTAACCTGAAGCCAGTCACTTATCTCTTTTGCTCCTTTTATGCTACCATTGTCGCTTGTACCACTCTAGCTCTCATTCGCATCAGCATCCCTTACTTCACAATCACTATCACTAGAATTAATAATTGATACACTTCCACTGCTAACATCCAAGATAAACACTATTTCATCTTCATCATCATGCACTCTCCTTCTTTACATCTTTCATAATTACATAATTAAACACAAAAAACAAAGAGCAACCATGTGTCATGTAACCTGAATAAGCACGCAAAGTAAACCAGAGCTTCCTGCAATCTCATTACACTAAATACTGCTATCTGTTACACTTTGTGAAACAACTAACATCTCCTATGAACATCGGAGTGGCTTACAAGAACTTCTTATGGTAGAAAAATCGGTTCAATGGAACATTTCATAAGCTCCAGATATATCCGTTTTCCACTTGGGAAGATTTAAACTTTTTTCCTCAGTTTTCCACTGTATAAATACATAATAAATTTCAACAAATTTATTGTACAATTAACCTGAGGAGGAAGACCAGGCCCAGCTGCTATTTATATTCACACAGAAAGAATATGTAAAATTCTGACAAATATCTTTGACACTAATTACTGTATATTATATTGTAAAGATAAATAAATGTTCTTGGGTTGAGGGATAATAGTTTCTTCCTATGATATCCAACAATATGTATCAAATGATCAGGCTTACGATAACCTTCCAGGCAAAAAATATTGATAAGAAACGTAGGCATTTGTCAAATCTCACCACAGTAAGACTGCACGCAATCTGCTAGTAGATTGTGTAACAGAACTTCCAATAACAGAGTAAATCTAATTTCTTTCATTAACAAGGCAGGCTCTTGTGAACATGGTAATGACCCTTTGGGTTATGCCACAGGTTCCCAAACTTCTATACCTTGCGCCCCCCTTAAAAAATTTCATAAATTTCACGCCCCCCTTCCAGAACAAGTGCAAGCAAACAGATTTTTCATAATATTTAGCTATGAGTACAAATTTTTTTTATAATTTAGTATATATTATTCAATGCATTTAATTTAAAAAAACTGTAATAAAATATATGCTTCATACCTGGATTAGTGGGATGGGTCGTTAACTGTACGTAGACTTGTATTGCTGTTTACTTCCTAAAACCGCCGATGCTCTACGAGTCTGAATTCTACAGCACTGTCAGACAACTAAACTGCCTCAACCAAGCAAAGGATGTTAAAAATGTTTCTCCATATTTCGTTAAAAAAAATTGTTCATACAAACAACACGCCCCCCAGAAAACCACTGTCTCCCCCAGGGGGGCACCCCACACTTTGGGAACCTCTGGGTTACGCACAAGCCGAGGAATGACTTTATTTACTGAATGACTATCAGCTTCAAAACAAGGACTTTGCTCCACGGATTCAGTAATTCAGTAGAAAAAATCTTTCAAAACATTCTTAACAAATTCATGCTTATCCCTTGTTTATAAAAAAATTAACAACGCTGTATCAACTACAAGGCCGCATAGAATAAAATATATATATTTTCTCTATATCTAGCTTCTACAAACACTGATTTTTTCCAAAATCATGTCATCAATTTTGAAATGCCTGTGAATTATCAACAAATATGACTAAAAAAATTCCTTTCATATTACACTCACCCCTGTGGCAACAATTCATGTTCTTCCGTTGTTACTTCATCCTTCAGTACATGGGTTTCTGCCTCATAATCCCATGGTTCATCCTGGAATCCAAACACTGGTTACTGGAGCATCAACATGCACATGTATACAGTGTATGAGACATACACATGGTGTATAGCCCACATGTGGTCGGGAATAAACGCCTACATTTTTAACACACAACATGCTACCTAACTTTCTATCATTCTACTAAATTACAAACATATGGAAAGAGTTCTGCCACAGACGTCAGTTGGACACTCCCCTTTTGAAATGGAGATTGGTATGTGAAAACAAAGTATTAAGAACAATATTTATAACTAACTAACTAACTCCCTGGTAGCAGAACCCGCAGATTCAACACCGACAATACCAAAGCTTGCCACCGGCCACGATCCTGAGCAAAACTCCATCCATTTGTCTTCCTCACAGCCCACCTCCCTAAGATTTATCTTGATAATATCCTCCCATCTCCTTCTTGGTATATTTATAATTAAGTAATATTAAACATCTGTGGAGTAAATAAAGTTTATACCGGGAAATTTCATTTATATTAATTTAATATTTACTTCAAGGTCACTAAACTGAAGCCTTTGCATGCAAGAAACACACGACTCTAAATGGTTCTAAAGATGATGCATTACATTCAATATTGCTGTTTTTCTGGACTTGATCCATCACCTGTTATTCCAAAAAAGACCGCTACGTTTCAGGAGCTAGCCCTGCTCCTGTCTTTTGGTAAAAATATGTTATTCTGGTGGTTCTGATAGATGGAGCTAATCACATTCCTTGAAGCTGGTCTAGGTAATATTTTAGAATATTAAATAACAGGTGAGGTCCAGAAAACCAGCAATATTAAACAAACACATGCAAACAGCGCACATGGTAAAAACTACTGGACGCATGTAATACTGACGACTAAGGCCTACAACAAACAATAATATTAGATAAAACTTAGAGAAATAGGTGAAATACGCTTTAAATTGAACTGTCATAAATAAATACAGATTTGGCAACAGGTTTTCTGCTGTAATGGTAACAAATGCAAAAATTATGGAAGCAAATAAGAAGTCTATAACTCACTTTAACTTCAGTCTTTACTGTAACAAACGCAAAGGAATCAATATGCTGTTTGTCATCAATCAGTTTATTCTCAGTAACTCCAATTAATGGGTTAGAAGCGGTGTTTGCATTAGCCATCACATTCACAGAGTCCAAGTTGTCCTGTAACAAACAGACATTCAAATCAGTCTTTTGACCTGACTTCATTTGCACATATATAACATACTGCAAATACTATAATGATACATAAATTTGTATCAAGCATGGGGGAGAGGATATACTCCACCCCCAATATTGTCAGGGCGATTAAGTCAAGAAGAATGAGATGGGCAGGGCATGTAGCACGCATGGATGAGGCAAGAGGTGTGCACCGGGTATTTGTCGGGAAGCCTGAGGGGAAGAGACCGCTGGAGAGATCTAGACATAGATGGGAGGATAATATCAAGCAGGATCTGTGGGAAATAGGAGTTAAACACAACTGGATTTTGCTGGCCCAGGACAGGAACTGGTGGAGGGCTTTGGTTAATTCGACAATGGACCTTCTGGTAGTAGTTAGCCATGTAGTTAGTTAGTTAGTTAGTTATGGTTGAGGAGAAGAAAGACAGCAAAGGTTTTTAAATAGCTACCATTGGTCCATACTTTTGCATGTCCCACTTTTAACAGCTTGTAGTTCATATATAAAATACATTAAAAACAGTAAAACAGTGATGATTATAGTCTGACCTCCAATATTAATACAAGCATATGAATGGTACAGTTACGATATAGCAGCCATATTGTATGCTTCAAGACCACAGAAGGACTGTGACAGCACAGCATTGCTAACTGTGTTACGCTTTGAGTTCTGAGCTGTCTTCACTGGCCAGGAGTCTCCCATTTCTGTTGCAACACTATGACCTTGAAGCATGTAACCTGGTGATTAGTATTAAAAAACATTACAAATAATTCGACCAGACTACACAGCGCAACAACCCAGAAGACAGAAATCTTCATATTCACCGCTGTGAGAACCTCAAGTCTTACAATTAAAAGTTTATTTACTGGCCTGCCTTGTTTTTAACATAAAACAGCACATGCTCACAAGCAATGACATGATTTGTAACAGGAAAACTAACCTCACTTTCATTTTTCACAGCAGAAAACGCAGTAAGGCCTTCCTGTTTCATACTGATCAGCTGAGTGTCACTCTCACTATCCGAAGCAGGTTCATGTTTGATTACATCCGTGCTATGCTGTAAACATATATAATGAGTAAGTCTCTGCATACGAAGGTCAATTACAAAGTCAGGAAATTATTTTATTATATATCCATGACATACGCTATAGGGACAACAAACCACATATCAATCAATCATTTATTTGAGTTAAGTTCTCTATACAGAAGGAAGTTTCCATTCAACACCAAGTGTTTGCAGAGCGCAGACTATGCGCTGTTCTCTTACTATCCAGACTTTATTCTTCTGTTTATCTTTAATCCTGCTTACAAGTTACTAACTGGACTCTCATTTACATCAAGCTTTATACACATGTCTACATACAATAACTAAATTAACAATATTATTACAAATTTTCCATTTGCTTCCGATGATACCATCTCACCAATCTAAGCTATCTCTCCTCCAGAAGTTACTGCTTCCACATCTTTTTTCGAAGCACTTTATGTAATATGTGAAAACATCTTCGTATTTGAAGCATGCTAACAAATGCCTATTGTTTAACAGCGTCCAGTTCTGTACACTTTTGTAACCGTCTCAAATTTCCTATTCCAATAGTTCTTCACTCTGATTCACCATTAACTGTATTTTCACCAATATAGTCCATGATATCTTCTGTAAGAATATTAAATAAACAAATGAAGACTACATCACCTTTCTCAGTGATTTGAACCTTATTTGGCAACTAACAGAGACAAAATCCTCTCGGGTGAGCAACCGCATCAATTCAAAACATAATTCCATTTCAGAGACTCTGTCTCTATCATAAGGGAATGATTATCCCAACATGATGGAGACTGAGTCTCTGAAATATTGGGCTTCTATGTCGAATTTATACAGTTGCTCGCCTGAGAGAATTTTATCAATACCACTTTTCTGTTCAACAGAATCTATCATTTCCTCCCTCTTCAAAACCACATTCACTGTTGACAATTCTGTCTGATTTCACCCCAGCTAGAATAAAAATGATATTTTATAGCAGCCATGAGTAAAAACAATGTTTTGTGTTCACATGGTTAGAACGGAAACTTTAAACATATTTAAATGGATATTTCAAGAAGGAACTCTGTTATACTAAAGCATCAGAGTGCTTGGCTAGATTTAAAAAGTACAAAATTCATGTCAAAAACTATTCACATTTTTTCATCCATCATATTGAATACTGAGGAAGCATTTGTTTATGTCTGCGATATATCTCATGTTATAAAAATGTAAAATGAACGGATGAAATTCAACAAAAATAGCATGAAAAATGGAAGTCACAGTGCAGAAATATTTTGGGGTTATTAACATTTTGACTTTAATATTTGACCTTAGTGTATTAAAAATGTGTAGCCAGATTTAAAGAAGCCTTTGCAAATCATTTTAAGAGCATTTCACATTGGGACATGAATAGACTGACACATACATTTTTTATAATTATTCACACTATTACATTATACACAATGAGTGAGGTGAAGATGGATGTCTTCTGGGTTGTTGCACCATGTAGTCTGGCAGAGGTTTACCAACATTTCAGAGGGCACTGTCCTGATGACAGAGGCAGCAAGGACCTTGAAACGTCAGTAAACTTCTACCAGACTGCATGGCGCAACAACCCAGAAGACAGCCATCTTGAGACTCACCGCCGTGTAAAACTCAATTCTTATAATGAGTGTGCTGTACTCATAACAAATTCTTTAATTTATTAGCAATAAATATATTCTAGAGCTCATGTTTTGATCACACAATATCATCATCAGGCTATGGTGATATCATACCTGAAGCAGATTTTTACTTAAGTAAGATATGTTGTATTCGATAGGTAAAACTACCTAAAACATTTAAGTTAAATAGATTAAAATGTTATTATATGAGACAAATTAACAATGTTTTGTTTCATAGATTAAGTTAATGGTGGCTTGATGCCAAGTTCCATAATTGAAAACTACCTTAAAACACTTGACTTATACAGATTATTTATTTCAGTAAAAGCAAAATACAGAACAAAAATATAGATAAAATGAAGTAACACTGTTTCCTTTTCATGTAATATTAACGTTTACATTATTGCTCTGTGTTGATATTGTGTACTTTAATAAACTGTTCGTAGGTGAAAGACACATAAGAAGCAGTAGACATGCAGTGGTGTAGACAAAGTTATGCTAAATCTTTTGTACTAAATCATAAAAATAACATAGAAGAATTGTAAAACAGCCACAACAGAATGCAAAGAATAGAACAATCATCAAGGAATACATCAACTGTATTCATGTGTGAAATAAACCCATCTCTTATTGTGAAGAACCAATTGTGTAATCACCAATTACAATACTTTATCACAAATTCATCAAGCACAAGTGAATGATTTCTGATATCCTATGTCACGTACTATGAACAACAGCTTCACAAAAATTAAAACAATGGAATATAAAGAGTTCACCTTTTTTACTTCAAACTGTAAACATACTTGGTACCAGTGGATGCTTGATACCTCAGGACACACATAACCTACAAAATAACATGCAAACTGTGACATGCTTGACTCCATGATACAGAGATATGAATTATTGCATTTTTGTGGATTATGCAGTTCTTGGAAACAAGTTTTCTTGTATTTTCACAGTAAACTCGTGTCGTTTCACACATCAAAATTAATGGGAGCAACAAGTACTTTCCTAGGTTATGGAAAGGCCTGTTATTTGTGAAAGATCAGTATATTTATTTCGTTACATATAATTTATACAAAGTTGGTTCCACGTCTGTATGTGCCTCTTACCTCTGGACGTTGCATGGTTGAGGTTCAATGGCTGTCACCCCCAGCTTCGTATTTGGGAGAAGCGGGTTCAATCTTCTGCCCAGAGATTAGCTATTCCGAAGGTTGTCTCGAATTTCTCAGCGCATTCACGCGATGTCAATATCACAATGATCCTCTTTCGATAATATATAACCATAAAGTTCACAACCCGTCAAAGAAACTAAAAAACAAGGTATGTGCTTGTGGTGGTAACCATTTAGATTCGATTGAATTAATGGCTGTAAATAGTGGGAGGAGGAACTTTGGTGTAGCCAGATGGAGGACGAAAACTGAAATGAATTGCTCACTACACGTTAGATTTCAAAATCAATTTATCTAATTAATCCTGTCGTGAAGTTTATCGAATTAAGCTAATATCCGTTTATGCAATTTACTTTTTCACGTTTGTCAAAGCAGGCTAAAAAATATCGGTGCATGTAGCTACTTGCGAAAAGCTCAAATTATTT